CCCCCGGCCCTTCACAGCCACAGCTCCGGCTATCACGTCAGGCCTCCTGTCCTCAAGGTCCGGATGCTGCCCGTCGGATGCTCCCGCGTCCTCATCCTCCTCTCCTCTTGTTCCACCCTGCTGTGAATTGCCAGTTTTGGAAGCCTTTCTCTGTGTCAGCTCTTCTCTTCGTGTAATAACCCCCAGACTGTCTCCCTCCAGGACCAAAGCCCCGTCCTTCCCCTTTCGCCCGAAATCGGGTCTTAAAATGTTGTCGATGTAAAAGTTGGTGATCCTGTGGGACTGCTGGTTGCCAGGGGCCTGGAGGAGAGGCAGGATGACCCGGTTGGACTCCTCGCCTCGGATGGAGTCGCCGGGGCGCTCTGGGTCTCGGTGGGCATTTTCTTCCATGATAATGAAGCCTGATCACCCTCAGCACTTCTTTCTCTGTGTCTTTGTAGAAATAATAGGCCAATTCTGATTTTATGATGTGTCCCGTTCACGTTCTTTTCAGTTAATTAAAATATTTCCGACCAAAAAGCGGCGAATTCCTTTTTTGCAGTAGGCTATAGCTGATATTGTTTCTCTTATGATTCTGACAAAGAAAAGATCATCCTTCTTTTTCTAGTAAAAGCCTACACCTCATTGCTGGACTTGTCTCTCAGATGTTTAATTTCATACTGTGAAATCCAACTTAAAAAAAATAAATAAAACTCCTGTGTATTAATTTTTTTCCTGTCGCTTCTAGCAGCACTAAACTACCCTGAGACGCCGCTCAAATACTTTCACTACTGATTTTGATTCTAATTTGTGATTGGACGCGAGACGCTGCGATGACGTATTACTACGGCTCTCACAGACACGTGCCTTAGACCAATAGAGTTGGAGAGTTTATGTCATGTGAGGTTCCCGGAATTCCCTGGGCCCAGGAATTCAAAACTCGCAATCCCTATTAGAGGAGACCAGAGTTGCATTTTGGGTAGTTCAAAACCAAAAAACAGGACTGGGATCACTTTGATATTTGATCAGATCAGGAAATTAAATTAAATTTTAATCTGGATCTCATCCTCAAAACAGGTAGGTCAAACCAAAAGCACAGGATCAGTTTGATCCAAAATATATGGATTACCTTGATCCAACTGGAGTGGTGGACTTTATTTTATTTTATTGCAATTCCATTATGATTTTAAGCAAGTGTTATTTACTTGAAAAATCTAATTCCTTCTCATTAAAATGAAATTAAATTGCCTAACTACCCATCCATATGTTGTTCTTCATTTCCACTAGGCGGAGTAGGTAAAATAATCTTGAAAAGTCTGAATCTGGATCAGGGTGATCTTATCTTGGCTTGCTTTGAAATACTAGGACAAAATCTGGCTAAGTTGTCTGATTCTGGATCAGTACATTTTGGATTTCCAAATCTGATCAACTCTGATTGAGATTTAAACTTTTTGACTCCTGAGCACTGGAGATGTAGATTGATCCAATCCAATCAGTCAAGTTGCCTTCAGGATACAATGGAAATGTCTTTCTTGCTATAACATTTATAGGCTAGCCCACTGGTGGAAAGTAGACCTAATATGCAGCATAGCTTTCTGACAGTAGGATAAGTTACATAGGTGTAGTAGCCTGAGCCCCATCCATCCATCCATTATCTATACTGATTGTCCTGAAGAGGGTTGTAGGGGGGAGCTGGAGACAATCCCAGCTGTCCTAGGGCGAGAGGCAAGGCACAACAATTTTACAACATTATAACAACTTACATTTCAGAAATGCCACAGTGCAACACATTACACTGTAGGCTGAAAAGTATAACATGAGAATGCCTGCATGAGATAAAAATGAGACATTAGGGGTGTTTTCACATATAGTAAAGTACTTTTTAGATGAACCAAACTCAGTTCTTTTGAGGTTGACCAAAAAGTGGACCAACAGAAAAGGAACTTGTTTTTTGTTTTGTTGTTGTTGTTTGTTTCTTGTATTCATGTTCATTTGAAAGACAACTCAGTCCTCTTTCTGTTCATACTATAGTTTCTCTGGAGCTCTCAGACCTTTACTTCTTTGGCATGTGGCTTTTATGTCAAGGCTATGTCACTGTCAATTCTGATAGTCTGTGTAAGGTGTTATGAAATTGATGGATTTATGAATGTTATAGCCTTGGACTGTTATGCTTAGAACATTAGCTAGTTGATAGCACAGCACACAAGTCAACCTGGACAAAGAGGGAGGGGAGACAGAAAGAAAAGGAGAAGAGAGCGCTAGCATACATCACATGCATTAGCCCTCCACTCAAGTTAGGATCCCTATCAGTTGTTGACAGTGTAGCTATACAGTAATAAGATTTTACTACAGCCATGGCATGCATGAAAAGATAACACTAACATCAACGTCATTTTGCATTGGAACTGTAATTGGAATAATAAAATATTTAGTTCTAAAATGTCAGTAATTGCATGGAGTGGAAACAAACATTTTTGGTGAAAACAGCCCTATTTGTGAGTGCTAATCAATCAACCATCACTAATGTTAGCTATCATAACTACGTTACCTGCAAAGTTTATTCATCCAGAAACCTGGGGTTGTTTTTATTTTCTTCTGTCAGTGATGAATAAAATGCGGTTCTGGCACTA